TCTAAGGGAGCCCGGAAACCTGTCAAGAAGCAGGTTCCGTCCCCAAGCTTTTCACTTAGCCTCCTGAGACAGGGGTCTCCCCGCTCCTGGGCCCGGGGTCTCCCAGCTCCTGGGCCCGATCCCGCTAGGCACGATGCCCCCAGGCTCAACCACAAATCCCCCCCCCCCCATCATCTGCTCTTGTCCCCGCCACTCATCACTTGAGCCTAACTCCCTGGAGGCCTTTTGCTACTGGTTTGCAAAAACCACCGGCTCTTGAGCAAGGCAGCTTGCAGGGTGCCCCATCTTAAAACACACGTGGAGCTAAACCAAAGGCTGGTTGTTTTCCCATCGGCCACCCCCTCTCTGGCTAGATCCAGATCTCTCTCTGTCTCTGCGGCCAGGGGAAGGATAGAGGAGCAGAAATTATCTCCTCTCCCCTCCCCCCTTCCATTCCTTGCCAACTCCAAGCTGTCCTTTGGGGGCTCCCCGCTTGCACTTGAACTGTGGTCTCCTAGGAACGGGCCCCCCCTCGCGTGGAAATATTTTACCCACGTGCCCCCCACCTGTACAAACCGCTGCGAGGGGAAGGGAAAAGGGCCCTTGAGCTTCCTTCGTTTGAACTTCCCTGAAGCGGCTTTTCGAGGCCCCCGGGGGAGAGACGTCCCAGGACTGGATGGATTGATGGGTTTCCTGCCCTGCCTTTGATGTTGAGTGTGAATGGGGCGGGAGGGGGGAAGAGACGTGAGCAGTCACGACTCGCGGAGTCTTTGCTGTGCGTGTTGCGAGCTCCATCCGGGAAGCACGATCCGTTTCAGCTCGGCTCCTCTCCGAACAGGAAGCGTTAAAGATAGAACAGACTTGGCTGGGGCGGGGAGATTAGGAAGTCAAGCCTCTTGTGTGCCTCCCGATCCATAAAGCCAGGGCTATGGCCCCAGGATAATCCCTGTTACATCATTTCTAGATCACACACGGTATAGACCAACAGGGGTCTACATCGCCTTACCCCACCTTCACCATCCCCTTGCCGTGTGAATAGGAGCTGCCTTGTAGAGTTTCATACCAACGCCGCCTTTAGTTAGAATTAAGGTATTCTCTGGAGGGATGGACACTGACGGTGAAAGCACGGTGGTCTAATGGTAAAGGATCCACATTTAACAGACCTGGCCTGTATTGTCTACTCTGCCCCTGAGCCAAAGCCCACTGAAATCACTGGGGGTGTTTCCACTGACTTATAATTGTCCGTGTTCTAGAGACCCAGGGCAATTATTTAACCTATCTTCCCCCCTTCCCCTTTTAATACATCTTGCCTATTTAGAAAATAATCTAATTGGGGCAAGGACCCTCACTGTGTGTGTCTAGTTAACTTTAGGACACCAGAGTGCTGATCTCAGGGGAGATGCCAAGTGGCTATTGCAGCAGAGAGCAATATTAACACCTCCACCCCGTGTAGCACCATAGGCTGGATGGATAAAACGGTTACTCACCTTCTCATAACTGTTGTTCAAGATGTGTTGTTCATGTCCATCCCAATCAGGTGTGCACGTGCATGGCAGCCGGAAGATTTTGGCCCTAGCAGGATCCGTAGGGTCGGCCTAGGTGCCCCCTGAAGTTGTGCCCTCATGGTGCTCAATGTAGTGGTCTGCCACCCTGACCCCCCTTCAGTTCCTTCTTGCCGGCTACTACAACAAAGGGGTAGGAGGGTGGGTATTGGAATGGACATGAACACCACATCTCAAAGAACAAGTTACGAGAAGGTAAGTAACTGTTTTTCCTTCTTCGAGTGGTTGAAAATGACATGAACAATCAGGTTTCTGTCTATCCTTATTCAGGGTCCTGTCTATCCCCTGATTCTACAGTTTGTGGGATTTGGCAGAGTCCAACCCCTGCTTCAAGATTGTGCTCTAGCCGTTGAGCTTTTGTTTGAAAATTACCTTTCTAGATATCAATCAATCAATAAGGCTTCAGAATGTTGACAGTCTAAGCCAATGCAGTTGCCATCTTCTTGAAAATACTGAATAAAACAAAAACACAAAACAAAAAGAATAGCTCAGAGGTATGAACGGCCTCATCAAGGTTAAGGGGATGTTAACTCTGAAACCTAGCAATGACAGCTTTAAAACATTAAACCATTTTATTATTTGACCAAACACATCCAAATAGCTAGTGGGCTTATACCTGATTACTAGAGGTTTGTACCTTCAAAAAGATTCTATAGGGCCTTCAAAATATGTAGACAATGGGGGAAAAGGGCCTAAGAGCCAACAAATATTCTTGTTGATCATTAAACAATCCACTTTGACAAGATACAACTGGTCATAACATGGACAGAAATATATATGTTAAAGACCACTGGAGTCTAGATGATGCCATTAAATATTTTGCTTTAAATGGCCAATACCTTACCAATATTCTTATTCTTCCATTAGCCCCACTTGGAGTATAATGGAAGACAAGGTTGTAGCTTTATTGTAACAAATTGCACACAAAAATAACCCTGCTAGCTCTAAAAAATACCAACCACATCCAGGAGGGCCAAAGGTCATGAGATAGGTGCTTACCTGTAGAGGACAGAGGCAGAAGGCTACAGCTGGAAAGTGCATCTGATCTCTTGGTTGCACAGAAGCAGCCTCATGGGTTTTATCTCAATTTCTATCTATTCATTGCCCTAGTGCACAATGCAGGACTCATTACAGCATATTCTCAGTACTTTTCTCCAGTTCTAATTATCACAGGGTCCCAGAGCTTGGGCTCCAGCCAGAGCCCAGAAGTCTACACAGCAATGAAACAGCCCGAGCCAGCTGGCACAGGCCAGATGCAGCTGTCTAGTTGTTGTGTAGACACACCCTCAGTGGACAGCTTGATGTTAACAAGCAGACATACTAACCTGTTGAAAGACAGCCCGCTCCCAGTTACCACCCCAATCCCCGCTCCATCCCCCCCCAGCTCTTAGGTTGAGGAAAGTTGGACTCTGCTGAGAAAGGGTCTGATTTCTCTGCAATACCAGTATGTTCCACTAGACAAATACTTGGAGAGTAATTGTGGGGAGGTGTCCAATTCCCTCATGCAATCACCCTTTCATTATTTATGCACAGTGGAACAGCTTCAACAGGAGCAAGATCCACATGTCAGAATATCCCTTAACTCAGTGGCTAGCGCATGCTCCTGAGAGGTGGAACACCCCTTTCAAATCTTGTCCCCCCTTCTGCCAGAGGGGGCAATTTGAAGCTGGGTCTCTCACATCCCAGGTGAGTGCTCTAACCACTGGGCTAAAAGTTATAAGGTGGGCACCTTCTCCAGCTCTTTTGTGTAGAGCAAGACAGACTCCCAACTTATTCTGGCAAAAAACTGTAGGCTCCTAAAACGTCCGACTCCGGGCCGCTGGTTCCTGTTCATGTACTGCTAGCAGTGATAGGTGCCTATCTGTGAGAGGGGGCAGGGCTTAGCACACCCCTCTTGAATCAGCGCCTCCCATTGCCTAGCTTAGGCAGCTACCCCACCTAGCAAGCTGGCATTTGTGGATCTCATTCTTAGGCATCTAACTCGGCTTTGTGGATCACAGTATTGTTCTTGGATTTTCTAGGCACCATGACGCTCAGTGTTGCAATGCCTAAATCCCCTTTATGGATCTCACCTCTAGTACCTGGCTTCTGTTCTAAAGTACAAGCTTACACTTCTTAAGAATTTTTATTCTAGTTATTGTAACGGAAGATATATTTACTGCCCTGGATTCCAGTTGGGCCAAGTAGAGAGCCAGACTTCCAGAGGGTTCACATCACATCCAGAGAGGAAGGAGTAAGATTATCTTCTTGATAGGCTGCAAAAATTTCCAGTGCAAGTGGCATTGAGAAAGCCTGCTCTCCACAACCCCTAGCCAACCCTGGTAGTGCTACTCTCTGTTCTGGAAAGCCTTTGAGGTCACAGTGGAAGCACAGTGGCAGGGAGAAAGCTTGCTGCTTGTACCGTAGCGCCTTTTCACAGCACTAAATCCCTGCTAAGAGTTCAGAGGTAAAGCAATGGCTTGCTTGGTGGTCTAAAGTGAAAGGAGTTCTATGAAGCAATTTTTTTTGCTTCCTAATTTAGCAGTTAGGAAAGAAGGTGGGGGTTCTTAGCTCCTGAAGCAGGGTGAAATCTTGGTTGATCAACTGTCATACACAGCCTGTCATTGATCCATCTTGCATTAGAACATAAGAACGGCCATACTTGGTCAGACCAAAGGTCCATCCAGCCCAGTATCCTGTCTACTGACAGTGGCCAATGCCAGGTGCCCCAGAGGGAGTGAACCTAACAGGTAATGATCAAGTGATCTCTCTGCCATCCATCTCCACCCTCTGACAAACAGAGGCTAGGGACACCATCCCTTACCCATCCTGGCTAATAGCCATTAATGGACTTAACCTCCATTGAAACAAGTAACTAAATGCTGATTTAGCATAAATACACTGATTTATCAGTGAGACACTAGATGGCTCTAGTTCCATTAAGGCATTCACTTCATTAGGGAGGAGTTTATTTTCCCCATTTATGACTCACTCCAACTTCCCCTGAATTCAGTGGAAAAGCCTGGCACTGGACTTCAGCAGGAGCTGGATCAGGCCCTTGGTCCCTGTTGACCATGACAATTGATTGCTGTTCTTGGAGTCCTGAGCAGAAGCTATGCTGCAGGTCAGAATTAACAGAGCTCAGGAAGAATTGTTCTTACAGGGTTGGAAAGCACCTGATAAAAAGTAGGTAGAGAGGTTACCATTAAAGTCAGTACATGAAATGCCATTTAAGATTGTAAATAACTTAGTAAGTGAAGCTAGTGACAACAGCCAAAATATTGAACCAAAAAAATCTAAAAGCTCATTACAGAAATGGACCAGTTAAAGTAAGAATGAATAATTTATTAGATTCATGAACTCAACAAATGTATAAATCTTATAGGATTAAAAAAAAAAAAAGGCTATTTCAGTAATGCACTCCAGAGTGTTGATGACAGGTTAATTTACATATTAACACAGAAGAACAAAGTAAACCAATTAGTTTGCTTGTCTTTATTGAACTCAAGAGTTGTTAAAAAGTTTGAAAACCATGTGAAACAGCATACTTGCAATTTTACTTAAGGTTAGTCACTCGTTTAACAATTAACTGTGATTGCTATATTGTAAGTGTTTTAACAAGGATTAAACACCACATCAAACATAAATAAGCAACAGATCAATAGTCCAGTTTTGTATCATACGGATTTGCTTGGCCTTTTATGATTAACATGTACTTTTCAAATAAATAGACACTCATTCAGTAGAAAAAAACCCACAAAAAGATATAAACATTGAGTGCTAATTTTACTGACGTCCTTCTTCGGTTTTCATGATACATTTAATGTCTATTATATGTGCAATTGTGGCTGAATTTTAAATAATTTTATACTAATTAAAGTCAAGGTTATGCTTTTCCACATACAGTAACCCTGCCATATGCTTGGGTAAACTTTAAAGTCAGTGCGTTCATTCTATTTGAGTTTAAACTCTCACCTATACATTATACCCTATAGCTCAATGTTGGCACAAATGTATAAAAAGGTCAATGATGCTTTAAAAAAAATACAAGAATTGAAAAGTTAAGAAACAGGCATCATTAAAAATATATTGGAGCACAGCTTATGTCCAGACTATTCTGAATTGATTGACCTTTTGGATATTAAAGATGTATCCAAATTGTAAACAAAAGTACGTATGTTCTTTAAAATCTGACAGCCAAATCCCTGTCAGCTGAGCAGCTGGTGGACCAACACTATCACATGCTCAGTTTTGTTAGTCCTTTGTTGCCAAGAAAGCTAAGTAACCTATAAAGGCAACGTAATCATTGGCTTCTTCTAATCTTGTTCAACCTTGAGAAGGCTTCAAATCCAAGAAGTGCTGGTTGCCAGTCTTTTTTTTTTTCCCCCCCCTCAAGAAAAGTTTCAGAAGAGCTTTGGCAACTGTCTGAGGTGCTTTACATCGAGAAAGGTACCAACTGAACTCATGCTGTCTGCCTGATTTAATGTCTCAAGCGTGGGAGTTCGTAGATTTTCAGAGAAGATCCGAACATTTCCTAGGTTCTCCCTGTCAGGTTGCTGAGTGAACTCTACGTTCCCAGCTACGAGTTTGGTTTTTGGCTTTAAATCCTTCAGAATCTGCTGTGAATTCTCATGTGGTTGATGTAGTATTTTTGGAGGAAAGGCCTCATTTGTAATATTTCTCAATACAGGACCATCGGATTCTGACAAAGAATAACTTCCAGTTGATTCCTTGTAAGGTTTCAGGTTAATGGATAATCTATCACAAACTCCTTCAGAAGATTCTTTCCAGAAGTTAAAGCCCTCCAACATGGGCTTAAAGTTAGTCTCTAACACATCTTCACTCTTGCTAATACTAGAGATGCTGCAGTTCTGAGTTTGCAGCTCCTCTTCATCTTCACTATGGTCACTGCTTTGTAGGAGCCCGTATCTTTTCATGTACTTCTTGGTTGCAAAGGACATATTGTTTGGTGAAATTAAGCTAAGACCCATCATGCTCTTGTCCATATTTGCATGTAAAAGGTTTTGGAAAGATGAATCTTCAGGTTTTTTTTCACTTGTGTGACGGAGAGAAAGCTGCGTCAGTTGACTTTCACTTAGATACTTGAGTGCTATTGCATTTGCCTCCATACTCAGATCAACTCCATTGGGAGTTAACCCACTCATGCCGACATTAACAAATGACATGTAGTTTAGTCCAGGGACCACTGCTTCAGGATTTATGCAGGCCAATACGCTAAAACACAAAGCACCGAAAATTAAGTTAATTTAGCTTTATACTGTGTGCATGTCATTTCAGAATACCAACACAGTGAAGTGTATTTCCCCCCCTCCTAAACTCGCCGAAATATCTGGCTTTTAAGCACGCTATTTGTTCACATAATTAAACACACACCTCACATAGTAAGATTGTGTGTCTTACCTAATGGTATCTACATTACAGAAAAAGATCCACTAGGGCAGTGTTTCCCAAACTTGGGACGCCGCTTGTGTAGGGAAAGCCCCTGGCGGGCCGGGCCGGTTTGTTTACTTGCTGCGTCTGCAGGTCCGGCCGATCTCAGCTCCCAGTGGCCACAGTTCGCTGCTCCAGGCCAACGGGGCCTGCTGGAAGCGGCGCGGGCCAAGGGACGTACTGGCTTCTAGCAGCCCCCACTGGCCTGGAGCAGTGAACCGCGGCCACTGGGAGCCGCGATCGGCCGGACCTGCGGACACGGCAAGTAAACAGAGCAGCCCGGCCCGCCAGGGGCTTTCCCTACACAAGCGGCGTCCCAAGTTTGGGAAACACTGCGCTAGAGGATTGAGAATAAACCATCCCTGATCCAATGCTGATCACAACTTCGGTAGTGTAACATGGTGACAGGAAGCCTCAGGCAGGCTTTAGGGCTTTGTATTTTAAGACCAACAGTTCAATATGCCACTTGGAAACTAATTAATAGTTAGTTGATCCCTACCCAGAGATGCAATGTGTCCTAGTGGTTAGAGCACTGGCCTGGGACTTGTCCAGGGTCACCCAGCAGGTCAGTGACCAAGTTACAGTACTTCTGTGTCTCAGTTTCCCCACCTATAAAATGGGGATCATATTGGACTCTTTCGTGATTGCTTTGAGATCTACTAGTGATAAGCGCTATGTGAGAGCTGGCTATTATTTATATGTTGCCATGTAGCCCAATATTTTTATCCAGCTGGAAGACTGCCTCTGTTGTAAACCAGTAACTGGTTAAGGATTGCTTTTTTGTCTCTATGGCAAAATAATGCCAGGACATCTAGAGATTTTTCCAATATACCCATTTCCAAAAGCCTGAAAAGGGAAGTTAAGAGACTTTTATTGTTACTGGGAAGGATATAGTTTTTCAAGAGCTCTTTCAGTATGTGAAGGAAGTTCACTCTTTCCTGTCCTTGCTCCACTAAACTCTTGTAATGTCTAATCCTAAAAATACACGGTCAAGACAAGCTCCAAGATACTGGTGCTCATTACTGCATCTATTACAGGCTATGTGCTTCAGTTTAATAAATCCAGTTTCCTCAATATCAAGAGATTGAAGGCATCTATGTACTCTAGTGATACGTGTAGAAAGATGAACTTGTGAGAACATCTTTTGGCTCAAAAAATAGACCACCAAAAAATAAGCAGGATGAGCCTGGTTCTCAGCTTGCTCCCTACTGTGATGCAGACAACTGTGAAAGAAGATCTCGATCAGCCACAAAGATGACAGGAGGGAGGATTTTTCGTTTTTAAGAGGTATATCAAGAAAGGAGACCTCTAGTTTGTTTTATAGTATCACACCTGTTAGCATGTTAATGGAACATATTAACAGAACACAAGCTTGAGAGTGATGGTGGGGAAAGTTTGATACAGCCAGTAATACAGGCTGTCTTAAACTTTGGTAAAAGCACCTGCTGCAATGCAAGTTAGAACAATTCTCAATTTTTTTCCTACTGGGGAGAAGTTCTTGAAACAGACATCTCCTCCCTGCCTGCCTGCCAGCCACTATACCTTCTTTGCAGCAGCCAGAACTCTTAGTTTACATGAATAAAGAAACATGGTCACATTAAGGACGCATAAAGATGAAAACAAAGCTTGCTTTAATGCAGCTGGGTTGGCTCCTCGGTAATCTTTATCTTCCCACCCTCCATTTTTAATCTGTGTCCTCTCCATGGGTTCAGGCCTGTACCTCTTCTCATTGCCTCCAGTTCCCCACTGCTCTAAGCTCTCCATATTACTTTATTGATTGGTTCTGTCCTCATCTCATGTGTTTGCTGTCCCTCCAGTTTTGATCTCAGGCACAAGTTTGATGACAACTAAACTTACACCTGTGAAATACAAGACAAAGGAGGGCTTGAAACAGCCCCACAGCATACAGAGATGCTTGATTTTACTTTAAATGTTTCATTGGTTAAGAAAGCCTCTAGCAATCCTTAGAGTTTTGCACTGGGATATATCTAGCAGCAAACACCACTCCTTAAAGAACAATGTGGTTTTTTAACCTGTGATAGCAGGAACACTGTGGCTAGCTAGATGCACTGCCCAATCCAAGTTTGAGAACTGCTTCTTTTTCTTAAAAGAAAAATTAGGGGGCTATCCTGTATCTAGTGCCTGTGTAAATATCTGGATGGAGTCCAGCTTTTCCCACCATTCTCTTCTAACAGCTCTAGTAGTGCCTAGCATGAACTAGGCTGAAGAGGTCAGACCAAGCTTGTGTTCCCTGTGCACGAGTATCAAAAACATGGTCCTGGAGGTAATGCATTAAGCCTTTTCTGCATCACTACTTGCTCGCTGGGGACTCTTGGTCCCTATTTGTCTTTCTATCTGAAGAGAACAAACAGTGAAGGCTAACACTTTACCTGGCATTCTCTACTTTGTGTGCATTTTTCTTCATTTTGTCAGGTGATTCAATTTTCACTCCAAGGTTCCTTAATTGCTTAAGGGTTGCACTAATCACACTATCTTTATCTGTCAGGCCTGGGTCAGATACTGAACTCCTTTCCTTTGGGTCATTAATATTCCGACATGTGGTACCATCATTGTCGACCATTGTTTGTTTTGTACATGGAGGATCACATTCTTCAGAGGATGACTTTAAGAAGTGGTTTACTTGACCCTACATAGGGGAAAAAGCACAAGCACATGTGGATCAACTAGTCAAGGGCTCAGGAACATGACAAAGGACTTTACTACAGAATCCGGTTATGTTTTATCTATGGCATATTTACTCCAAATCAAACTACCGTACAGCTAGATCTGAAAATAATTTGACTTGTTTGTCAGAATAAGTTAACTATTGGTATCACTAAATGTTGTGTATTAAGTGGTGTGCAAAAATAAAATACATTTATGCATAGAAGGAGTGAAGGGCAGAAGGAGTATTTAAGCCTCCAAGAAAAGCAAGTCACAAGCTTGCCTCTCTTTTGCACTGCAGAAAACATGAAGAGATGAGATGCATGTGACAACCGTACTCAGTTTCAGCCATGTGAAAGCCACAGTAGTGTATTGCATGGAGCCTATTCTGGTTATGAGAACACACTATGAAGGACAAGTGGCAAATAATTGTAAGATATGAAAGACTGCCAGATATTAAAGGGTTTGTGTTAAATACTTTTACCAATATATCCTGGTAAAACTTTTGATCATCGGATGGGTGTCTAGGCAGTGATGGACCAGCATGCTCAGCTTCTGGTTCATTTGGTGCCACCATGTGGTAGTTAGCTCCCTCCGTGGGTCCTGTCTGTAAACACATGCTAACACTTTCTTCCAACAGTGAATTTGGAGCACATGCTGGGGAAACTGGCTCATTTCTGAAGGAGACAGAACAATGAGTTAATACACCATTGATTTTTTACTTTGTTTGAAAGTAACCTATGAATCTAAATCTTGGAAAATTATATCATCTCTCCATTTCTCTTACTGTTCTCCAAGATGTCAAAAAGACTGGACTGGGTGCAGCAAAGAGCTATAAAAATGATTCAAAGGCTGGAAAAAAGTGCTTTACAAAGAGGCTGAAGGAGCTCTGTTTAATTTATCAAAAAGAAGATCAAGAGTTGACTTGATTACAGTATACAAGTACCTCCATAGGGGGATATACTGGTTACTAATCTACCAAAAGGAAGGGCACAAGAACCAACAGCTAGAAAGTACAGCAAGACAACTTCAAACTGGAAATAAGGCACAAATTCTTAAAACAGCAAAGGTGATTAACAGTTGGAACAAGACACCAAGGGAAGTGGAGGGTTCTTTGTCTCTTGAATTCTCTAAACCTGGGGAAATTCTGCCCCCAAAATTAAAAATTCTGCACACAATATTTTAAAATTCTGCATATTTTATTTGTCAAAATAATGCAATATAATCATGCTGGTTTCAATTATTTTGGTAATTTATTTAAACTACAGTACAATGGACGGAGAACGGGAGCTGGGAGCACTGGAGAAAATCTCCAATCCCCCGGCCTGACAGTAAGGTAGCTAGGTTTGACCCTTTATTTCTCGTTATTAGTCAACAAATAAATGCAGCCATATGCTCAGTGTTACATCATAGGCAACTGAAGAAGAGCAAGTGAGGCCTGGGGAATGAAACTCACAATTTATATTGGCTACTGACCAGCTCCAGAAAGGTCAATAGCAAAGAGTTCATGGAGCACATTTTGATAGGAAATTTTTTCAGTCCAAAAATTTAGACCAGGTCTAATCACTAAAGCACCATAAGCATTTATAAGGCTACTGTCCTTTACACAACTCTGGCAATGTAAAGGAGCCTTAACTTTTACACCTATTTTATACACAAAGAAAATGGGAACAATTCACTAAGCAGGCAGGCTGCTACATTCTGCTCTGCCTGACGGGACAGAGCCTGCCCCACTCCTCAGAAACACCCCAAAACCCTGCCCCTCCACACCGAACGTGCTGCAATAGTGAGCAAGAGGGACAGTCAGAGTCAGCCTCCCTCTCCCCCAGCGGTGATTTACATCTCTACCATCTGCTCCAGGCACCTAAACTGACCTGCCTGCAATGCTGGGGAGGGAGCGTGATCGCTCTTGTGGCTTCTTTTTGTTTCCCTGTCAGAAGCCATTTTTCTGCAGGGAAGCAAAGAAATCTGCGGAGAACAAGAATTCTGCACACGTGCAGTGATGCAGAATTCCCCCAGGAGTAAGTCTTCAAAGCAAGACTGAATGTTTGTCTGACAAATATACTTTCATCATGATGACATTGTGTTGCCTGTGTTACACAGGAGATCAGACTAGATGAACTAGTGATCCTCCCTCTGGCCATTTGTTTCACCTGCTGCATCCAAGTTTCCAAAATGTCAGCATTTTATTGCTTCTTCAAAGCCCTTAAGACTCTTGTTTGTTTGTTTTGCTCTTTAGTTCAACACAAAGCCATTTTAAACACAAATATTAGTGGCAAGTATTGTTACTGTGTTTCACTGTAAACACATACCGATATTTTCACGTACTTTAGTTTTAGAGAAAATATCAACCTGGCTGAAAGGATGGTATGTTCACAGTGCTACGCACTCAACTGGTTTCTATAATAAGATAAGTGAAGTCCAGACTGAAAAATTTCACTGTTACTGACATGAATAGGAGCTTCAGGGAAGAATCTGATTCCATGTCTTCACACATCAGAAAGGCAGATATGCCACAGTGAACTATCACAGGGCATGGGGAAACCACTGTATCTGGGTGTTATCTACAAATGTGTAACAGTTGAGGCCAGAAGGAATGATAATGCTGGGGTCCCAGATAGATCTCTGGGTGACCCCCAGAAACAAACATGAACGATAGCGGAAATATCGGAACCCAAACCAATCAACAGTGCATGTTGAAAGAGATAAGATTTAAATCATGTGCTGTGCCAGATAGTCAATGCAGGTTATCAATTACTGCAAGGAGAAGCAATTCATTATCCCCAGCAAAAACAAACAGGTAAAACCCAATGCTACTGTGCATTTTTCCGCTGAAGAAATCATCAAAATACTTCACATGTGTATAAAGCCAAGTTAGAAAACAGTGCTCGAGAGAGTTCTCTCTAAAACCAGCCATGTTAGAAAAGGACTGATTTAGTTAATGTGAGCATTGGCTCAAACTACATGCACATGCTACTCCCCCAATTCTAATTCAGAGCCCCCAAGTTAGTTAGAAATCCATAGTTTATCAGTTTAATGACTAACCTTTTCCCAGTATGACTATTTTTAGACATTAATTTAATCTGATCTGAATGGTTTGTCTTCACTTAGCTTTTTACACCTGTGAAATGTATTGGATCAGGATTTTATATTTATGTAGCTATCTGAAAATGAAAACATTTGATTCTTTATCAAGGGAAAAGATTGAGAATATCTATGCATGGAAAACTCTAATCTCATTCTAATACTGGAAGTGCTTTGAGTTAAATTCTCTTAACATCATTGTAAAATTGTGAATGGAGGTTTAAAAGTAATCGAAATGGCTTATTCTAGTGCCACATTAATAGATTCTATATTTTGACTTAGTACAGTGAGAACACAAGGGAAAAAAAGTCAGTGATTAGGTGTGAAACACAGAAGAATCCAGGGAGGTAATCAAGTCATATGACCTTCAACCCTCTAGTCCTGTGGATAAATCAGCCCCTGAGAACCGTAGGCAATTTTAACGCTGGCAGTGGAGAACTCATGCAGGAAAATGATAAGTATAGCAGTGTTTCCCCTTGTGATTTAAGAAGAGGATGAGAATATTGCTTGGAAGATCTCTGCAATTTTTTAAAAAAAAAGTTACCTAGGGGGGTTTTGCTGCCATCAGCTACAGCTGCCACCAAAGGTGCCCGACTGCCAAGGGCAACTATATTTGGTACATCTGCACAAGTGATTTTGGAGACAGGATTAAAGGCAAAAGGAATTATACAGAACATTTAGTTAAGTCAGATGCCAACCGACGAAGTTCTGTAAAAAAAGTCAGTTGCTTCTACATGACATTACTTAAACGGCGAGTGAACTAAACAGTGAACAAGTACTATCAACCCACAAACAAGATTTTTCAAATCAAATATTTACCCGAGTCCAGCCTGGTTAGTTCCTTCTTCTGCAACATGGCAACTTTCTACAAAGCTGGGTATGTCAACAGCCTTTAATGAGGAGGCAATACTTGTATTACTTGTATCTTGCTCAGTGTTAATAGAAATGCTTATATCTTCTTTAGATATTTCAGTGTCATCTTGTTTAACTGGACACACAGAGTCTTCTTGCTTTTCACATGGTGCATTCCAAAATAAGCTAGCACCTAGCAGAGGAAAATTAATGCAGTTTGTGATTTTAAGTTTCGAAAAGGTCATTTGTTTTCCAATACATTTATTCTCTACAGTTATACAGAAATAAAAGCCATTGCTGTGTTTGGTTTTATTTTCACTAGGTTTTTTTTTGCTTTTGTTTTTAAAATGACAAGTTCTAAAACACCGTTCAGAAAAATAAAAAAAAAATCTGAGGAAGCTGCCTTTACTTAATGAAATAATTGCGAAAATTAACATTGTTCTTCAATTTAACAGTGTTACTTTATGTACAATAGCAAATAAATGCTGCATTTTATTTAACAAATGAAACGACTAGATAGGAATACAATTAGTCTTGTATACCTCTAAATTCACTTTTGAAGAAAGGGATGTGCCCATCTGTAAGACTGTGGAGTTATCTCCCCCTCCAAACCAGCCACAACCTTGTAATAAAGGTTAATAGGACCAGATAGATACATTAGTTCATGGCCTACTGGCTTCAGTTGTGATACTCACTGACATTAGAGGGAGTCAATTTCCCCCTGAAGAAAGATAGGACATCAATACCTAGCATATAGTATTGGGGGGGAAATGGAGAACCTTAAAGGTGTCCTGGATAAATATCTGATAGTATGCCATACAGGATTAGAACTATTACACCTAAAGCAAGAGTATGTACATCATTTTGCATATAGAGAAAGGGACCAAAGTTATTGTGACTGAGACATGGGTTGAATACAAAACTGAGTCATGGGTTGAATGCATCGCCTTCATCTCCTTGTCAAGAAAAACTCCTGTCTGACCTTGCATGACAATTCCCAAAAGATGGGCCTGATTTTCTGAGGTGCTTAGCCCCTAACAACAGATTGACTATGACTAAAGGGGTGGCTGCTCAGCACTTCTGAAAATCAGGCACAAGTCGAAGCAATATTAAGAACGGGTTTATGTCATTGTCATTCTGAAAAGGAATAAAAAAAAAAAAGGTGTTACCTGTGCTTACAGCAATGCTCACACTTTTTCTCATGTGTAAACCTTGGGAAGATTGTGTTTCCATGGCAACAAATTCCAACTGCTTCTCAGACTGTAGGGCATTGTTACCTATAGTAGTTTTAGTAGAACAAGGTTGAAGAGTTTGTGCTTCCAACAAACGCTGGATCTGGAACAGTTATCAGGAGAGTATCACTTGCACTGCAAGTATAATAAATTCAGGACGCTAGTTGACAGCGAGTTACCATACCAGACTTTCATTACTGAAGATCTGGATTCAAATTCTGATTATGTTGCCATACAAGACAAGTTTAATGGTATTTTAGTTACCGTCAGAGAGTTTGGCATGATTTATAGGGTCTATTTTCAGCTTGGAATAGCAGGCAAATGAAGGTCACGCTGGCAGAACTACACTAAAAAGCTTTTATGTACCTATTTGCACTATGCCTGTTTGAAGCCCCCACCATTAGCCTCTTTTGTATAGCTCCTCCCCTTCCCAACGTGTTAAAAAACATCATTTAGGTTGCAAAGCTAAGTACATGAAAGCTTGGAAAAGCCAGATTTACCCCTTCTGCATCCATCCTGTTCGCTAAAGGAGGCCGGGGTACTGTGGAAAGACAGTACATGATCATGTGATTAAATATTGTGTCATAATGCATATGCATAAGGGAGCAGACTTAAGGTTTCACGTGCAACCAAAAATCTAGCATCAACCTTGGAGTTCTTATCTTTGCAATCTAAATAATATTCTTTCAATGTCATTTCCTACTTTGTTCTTTAAAAAACACAGAAAAATTCTGTTATTACTACAGTTCTTCCACCTTCCTCTTGCATCATCCACCGGGTTTGAACCCTGAACCTTCAATTTGACACTTGAACTACACTAGCTTGCAGAAGGAGGAGGCTATCATCCTGGGGGCCAGGCTGAGGAAGAGAATGGGCCATTGGTACCTCATGCTAAGTCCATGGTGGGGGAAGGGGATATAATCAGGAGGTGGGGGAGGAAGGGAGCCTGGCTTGGCTCCACCTCCTGTTGCTACAGCTGCTCTGGAAGCAGCCTGGCTCTTTAGAATGTTCTTGTTCAGCTACCATTTTGGCAGGCTGACATTTTCCAGAGGAATGCAAGGGATAGAAGGGAAATGGCAACTTAATTCATCCTGAATGGAATTCCATGGGACAACCGAAAGAAAAGCACACTTCCAACCCCAGTGCTTTGACCCTGCTGAATTTCAACAGCATGTTGCAAACAATGGAGGTATTCGTGCTTCTCAAAAAAAGGTCACACAAGTCTGTTATAAGCTATTAAGTTGCAAATTCGGTTATGGGGGAAGAAAACACATTAGAATGCACCATGCTTTCACCATATATTTATATTAATTCCAAACTAGTTCATGGCTCATTAAACTGTGCAGTTTACTTTCTGGATGGGTAGAGACAGCTATCTCCTAGTAATACAAAACAGTTTACTGAAAACAGAGCAAATATTTACCTGTGTTACTTGATTGTAATTCCAAAATAATCTAATTAGAAAAATCAAATGAATTTGCTTTCAATTTGCTTTAACAGAGACCAATCATCAGTAGAGCTGCCTACTTAGAGAATTGGGTTCCAATTTGACAGGATCCCTTATTCCAACCAAAAAGATAGCCATAACCAAGTTATTTTCATTAGTGTTATTTTTAGAACATATTTACCAAAGTGTATTTATCAGTAAGAGGGCAGAGGAGAAAACCTCCCAAACAAACCTGAGCTTGAAGTAATTTCAGCTGCCTGTCTTGTTCTGTAAGAATCCTGTAAGCATCTGGAGATAATCCCATCATTCCATTATCTGATTCCATTTTGGGAGCAGGTGCATGTGTGCATGCTGAATGTGCTGCACAAGATTGGAGATGGCAAGGGCTTGGATGTGAAGAAAGTCTTGACCCAGGTGATAAGCTGCTACCAAGGGGAGAACAATTCCCCATTTTCCCATTGTACCCAGGAGTTACAGAACTACTTGGGGTATGTATTGGACTACAGCAAATATTTGGACAAGTGACATTTTGATGGAAAACTGAATATGCGCTCTCTTGAGGAACATCAGATTGGATTTCTGCATGATTGGTGCCCATTTTAACCAGTCCTTGCCAAGCATTTGTTGAACTGTATTGGATATGTCCATGAAGTGGACAACCACATACACTGGCTGGACAGCAAGATGGCACTTGAGGGACAGGCATCTGCAGTTCTGTTGGTCTTCTTGAGTTCTGGTGTGAAAAAGCAACGTTGTACTGGAGAGGCTGTTTGGCACCAGGAGGCTGCTTAGAATTAGATGTTGAGGGTCTCGTTGCTGGAGGTTCCCCTTTTCTTTGTGTGGCTCTATCAGGATTTGATACAAGTCTTTCAGATGGCATCCTGGGTTGATGCACAGATGTATCAGGAGAGGGCCCACTGCGAGGTGTTGAAGGGGAAGGGGATGATGAAGAGGAAGAAGATCCAGAACTCTTTCTTGTTTGAAGGCCAATTCTCCTACAATTAGGCTGTTGCTGTAGTGGCAGTTGCTTTCCTCTGCAAGGTTTTAAAGTTGGAGTTATCTGGTTTAATTGGCTCGGTAACCTTCTCAATGAAGAATGTCTAGCATGGGTGCTGAAGCTTTGTTTATTGTTATCAAAGCATTGATTTTGGTATAATGGTCCTGTTGAATAGGTCTTTTTATTAGGCTGAGGTACCAGCAGTGGTTGATTTTTATTATTCATGGTCTCCATAGGCTGAGACAGTTTTGGTTCCATGAAGCTGCCATCAAAGACAAGGGAGAGTTCAGGAACAGAAGGATGGATCTTAGTAACCTGGATAGGAGACAGTTATAAGAGTGAAGTCAAGCTAGCTTGGGAACCATCATGTCACCTTATCTGATCTACATTTTTCATTTGTGTGATTGTGGCTTTTTGGGAATCTTGTAAGATGTTCTTACATTATTCCCAATTATTCACATTTTTCTGATTAAGTTATTTTTCCCAGCTGATCTGGCTCATAATTGTTTTTAGCTTTGTGAAACTGTTCCTAGTAAAGTACCAAGTTTATATATCACTGGTCTGGACTTAATAGCATTTGTATTGTACAAACAGAATAAAGTCATGACCACTTAAACCCAAGCTACCATTAATTTTTAGTTCTCAGATCACTTCCTCTTTATCTGTTAGAAATATAATATAATATCGGTCAAATATAGAATTCCTCTGTGTTCCCTGCCACACTTTTTGAGTTAGGAAATAGTCATCTATAATGTTTAGAAATGCCCAGAATCCCTGGATGACAGGCAGTATAGAAAAACTGAAGTTACCTGTTGACTCACTGGATGAGGACTTGGAATTGGTCTCGGAGATAAATCTTCATCTTCCACACCCGAGTCATGATCACTTACTGACAATTTGCTGGGGGAAGAGCCTTGAGGAGGACTAAAAAATAAAGAGACCTTTGTGTAACTTCTAATTTAACATGATAGGATTGACAGAGTGCATGAATCCTGACAACATTATCTATTTCTCACTTGTGGTCCATACCAGGAGATCTACAGAGCAGTACTGTTACTAGTTTGGAAGAACCACTGATAAACATCTCTCCTCTGACTGGCTAGGAAGTGTCAGATGGCAAAGAGAGATCTAAGGATCACAAAAAATGTGGAAAAAATAAATATCCCTTTCTGGATTATCATCCAGTTTTTAGCCAAAGAATCTTTGACAGATACAAGTATTTCAGATGACATTTTAAGCCAAGGCACTGATTTATCAGGCCCACTGTAAGACACCGATAGGGAAGGAAGAGTTGAGGAAAAAAAATATATAATATGGCTTTAAGCAGAATAAAAGCCATCTTATTGTTAGCTACAAGCTTTGATGGCAAGGTAGATTTATAAAATCCAAGATTCCGGCTATGCACATCTCACAGCTTTGACAAATAAGAAGGAAAAAGGCATTTTACGAATACAAGCAGTTTTCTGTTACAGATTTCCTCCTTGGACAACTGGAACTCACCAACACTAAGTGTCATACAGCACACTAGATGAGATCCATACTTTAGGAAACATCCACTTAAGTGTGTAAAAGCCTTTAATGCCAATAATATATCTAGTATAGGTACATGCAGGAGTTTCTCTAGAAACATATGGTCAACTTGTAGGCCTTATTACATGAAAAGCCATTAAGTTAGTTAAGGTGCAAGTGATCATTAATAGACTTTATGGACAGATAAGACCATTTTATGACCATCTAGCCTGACCTGCATAACACAGGTTAAAGAACTTCACCCAATAACAGATGTTGGGGAAATAGACTGTGTGTAAATATGAGAGAGAGAGAGAGAGAGAGAGATTCTTCACCTTCTAATGGAAAGATTCATGGAAACTTTGCTGAAGAACTCAGTTTCTGCATTTTGTTTTTCTGCATTCAGCTCAAATTGAATAGGGTGCTTGTCTGAAGGTTCAACATTCTGAAATTAAATAATGGGTTGCATTAATGAAATCTGAAGCAAGTCAGTGGCCTCCAACCTGCTGCCCCAATGTGCTATATAATGGCTATCAAAAACAGAAGAACGTTGTATTTGGTTACCAATTAAAAGATACGTTCTCTGTAAAATGCCCTGCAAATCTGCCACTCAAGTGTATGAATCAGGCTCATCACTACAGGGAGTCAGTAACGATGCCTCCCACCTGTCTCCCATTGCTTCCCCTGCAGCTCTAGAAGCAGATCTGGTGTGAACCATGAATAGTGAGCAGCTGCTGTCCCTCCTTGTTGTAGCTGCTCAGCAATTCCCCTCCTGGCAGCCTTCAGCATTGCAGGGGACAGTAACTCAGACTGTTCCCCTACCTACTTCCCTGCCAGGATGTAGGAGCCCTACTTTGAGCAGGCCAGGAGCTTGATTGGCTCTGCCTGAGCCCAGGGAAGAGTTAAGGTATTGACTGTGGCCCCTTAACCTTTCCGGACCTCAGGCTGAAAAGGTTGGATACTACAGATGCAATTTAAATTTCTTTGAAAATAGTACAATGAAGATATACTTATATTGTTGTATGCAGTGTTGCTGTAGCTGTGTTGGTCACAGGATATTAGAGAGACAAGGTGGGTGAGGCAGTATCTTATTGGATCAGCTTCTGGACCAACCTCAAAAGCTTGTCTCTCTCACTAACAGAAGTTGTCCAACAGAAGATATTACTGCACCCACCTTGTCGCTCATGTACTTATATGGCAGTTGCACTCTTAAAAACAGCAAGAAAGCCACAAACCAGTCACTATTCCTGACATTTTCCCCTTTTTGCTCAGTTCCTAGAAAATGGAAAAGGGTGGGACAACACAATTTGCTACTCCTTCAATCCTGGCTGCTGCATGATAGTTCTGGTTCTTCCACCTACACAGTGTACATGGGACACACAAACTAGTGGCATAACATTGCTCATATTCCTTCTAAATCTGTTATGTCCCAGAGTTTTGTTGACCATACATAAGGAGGGGACGTGCCATGACAAGTTTAACTTCTTGGTGTTTGTCCATATGCAGAATGCTTTTTAGCACTTGCTATGATTAGATAGTTACAAACAACTGCTGACTTTGGAAGACATCTTGGGTTTTAAGTCTCTCATAATTTAGGAAATTAGAATAATTACTATAATAAACCTAGATTTAGAGCTACACTAACACTATATTTGTGCAAGTCACATTAGTAATGTCTAACTTTATGCTACAATGTAGCTTTTAATTATCAAAATACTACAACATAACCTTGAGGATGTATTAGTCAACCAAGCCACTTACTTTGAAGAGATGTAATGTTTCTTTACTTGTTAGTAGCTGAAACCCTAGTTCAGTTTGCCCACTGCAAGGAAGGCACTCATAAAACTCTGGTTCCTTGTGGGTCAGCGAATAGAGAACAATAAGGAAACTTCCAGACTCTGAAAGAACCCTAGATAAAAGAAAAATCATTCATTTAAAAAAAATTTACGTATTTTAGAAACAGGAAAAATCCACTTGGCCAACTAAACTTCCTGTATGGTTCACTGAAAAAATGAGGAACATCCCACTAATCAAGATGATACATGTCAATACTCATTTTTAGCTGAGTTCTGTATGGCACTGCATACAAAAACAGTTAGACCTTTCACTGATGCTGTATATGGAGAGAACAGTAAGTTTTTTTTGTTTTTTTTTTTTAAAAAGCCCACACAGTCTCCTATTTTAGATGACTTAGTATCCAAAAATGGAGGAACTCATTCACAGAGCAGATGTCAAGACATTGAGGTCGAATGTTGTAGCATCTTAACTGATCACTAGGTTGCTTCTAAAAGTTCAAGCAGTGAACCTCCATTTAAAATAAAGTATTTCAATTGTTTCTACATACTCAGTAGAGCTCTTCTACTGAACATACTGAAATGAATGTTTGGGGAGGAGGATAACAATCCTATAATATACTAACATTTTCTACAGCTGAAGAGCACTGGATGTGCAAGTCCAAAATTCAGCATTTGAAACAAATAAACCCAAGATCAAGAATAAATGAAAAAGTAATGTAGATTGAGGATAACGGTACAGTTTATTCATAAGTTTATTTTCACGATATTTGAAAACAATTTCATTTGCAGGTTGGCTATTTCTTTATGTTTGTGAGAAGTGAGCAAAGACAATCAAGAGGGAAAGTCAAAAATTTTTGATGTGGCTAATTTCAAAATTACATTAAGTGATATAGCACCCTTAAACCAGTACATCCTGATTTAAAAAAAAAAAAAAATTTCTCCCACATTGAATGTCTAAAGGTCTTTTTGGTTAGACAGTTTACTCCCTTGCTAACTTGACTAAACAGAGAAAGAGTGCACTATATGAAGTGCAGTCAAATACAGAGAGTAAGCAAAATGGATAGCAAAATCTTCCTCTACATTTTCAGTTTAAGTAATTATAGATATTACTGTTACAAGTAACACTTGTAATAAATCTGAACTATCTGAAATTTTGTACCTATTTGTAAGTTGACTAAGTTTAATTTCAGGGCCAATAACAAATTCTAATTTTAATGAATGGTACAAACAGGTCACAGAACTACATTCTTGGCATTTAATCATGTAGTGCAGTGCATTTTTTAACCCACTGGAACAGAGTGGCACTCTGTCCCATAAGGATTGGGGAAAAACACTACCAGTGACAAATAGCTAACAGGTATGTATTGCTAATGTTAAGACTCCAAAACAAGCATTGACTTCTAGTGCTGGAAGTTCTTGGAAGGATATAGGAACAGGAAAGGACAACATGAGTAAAAAAATGGTAGCCACAACAGGGGAAGATAAACCAAAAATTGGTACACAAGAAAAAAGTACTAGGAACTGTCAAAATAATGTCTGTTTGCAGAGGGGAGTGGAAAGGAGAAGAGATCAGCTGCCTTAAGAGTCAGGAAAATAGAACTGTGAGGCGTAGTCCTCCATTTTAAAAACTAACACCTATTCTCCCCTCTCCCAAAAGTAATTTGACAGATACTGACCCAACTTGCCAATTTTCTGAAATTAATATTCAGGAACATTAGTAATTTATTTTTATATTAATAGATTTTAAGGCCAAAAGGGACCATTACATCATCTTCTAGTCAGACTTCCTAACTAGCACAGACCACACAATTTCACCCATTTACACTTATATAGAGACAACATTCCATCAAGGGGTGCACGTGATCAAACCAAAAGCAAGTTTTCCATAGCATCTGATGCTAAGTAGCTCAAACAAGACTTTTATCAAATAAAGTTTAAGTCGTTTACCTTTCTTGAATTGAAGAACTGAACAAATAACGCAGGCAGCAGGCCCAGACCTGTGGATTGTAGATATGAGTGATGCCACTCAACCAACTAAAGGGACAAGGAAAAACCTGCCATTAGAAATGGATTTATTATATCCTTCACTAAACACTCACCCAAGTACATGACAAAAATATACTAGTATCAGGAAAAGGCATTATACAAAACTAGCCAAATACTTACATTCCAACCAATGGCAAAGCATAAGCCTTGGGATCAGATTCCAGCACCAGAAGTAGTTTTCGGGTTTGGTCCATTGTAAGGTATCTGGAACATAATAGGCTGTGTTTGTTCTAGGACCGAGGAAGTCCAGAACCACATTTAAGGTGAGAAGAAAATCCTGTGCTAGAAGTGTGTTTTCAGAAGTGCTGTGTGAAGGCTTCGGGTGGCAAGAGTACTCACGTCTTGGGAAAGAATGGATATTCTCAAGCTTATTTCGTAGCTATCAACAACCCACCAAGCTGTTATTGAAGCCACTACAGTCAGCTTAATATATTGGTTGCTCTGATGAACCCAGAAAAGTAGTAAGATGTGTCAAATTTTAAGTTATAAAAGGAGGTGGTTAGGGGGAAAATAAAATAAAATAAAAATCTACATTTTGAATGGTCAAGGATCCAGGACAAAAATCCTGACAGCACTGAAGGCTCAAACTACTTTATTTTCAGATGTATTTCATAAATGAAGTTCCCAGCGCACCCTATTAACAATAGAACAATCAGACAAAAATGAAGATTCTCTAACGTTATCTTATTGTGAGTTTAAGATTGGTGAGCTTGGACTGAAATGGCCTGATTTTCACTTCTGGGTCTAGCACGGATATTGATATGATAATCAAAAAGACACCTGCAGACTGTTTTTAAAACTATAATTAATTTTTCTTTTTCCTCCTGTAGACTGATCTTCCCCCTATTAAAGTCAAAAGCAAGAGCTCTAGTTGAATAGAATGGTGCAGAATGTCCCGATTCCTGTGCCAGGAGGACTAGCTTCCTGTGCTCACTGCGTAAACTTTCTAATTCAAGATACTAAAAGCTAAATCGGAAATAATATTCTTTATACTTCCTGCTTCCTCAAAGACAGCTGAAGGCTAAGCCACTGACACTAATGGGAGATAATTTCCATGCACCACCTAACTGATCCTAGGATATTCAACTGAACAGCACTTCATGCCTGAAAGTTTTAACATTGAACTTACCCACATTTATAAGTCCCCTGAATCTGTGCAATATTCATATGACCGCTCAAGTTTCTTGCCAGGGCTGTAGGAATAATTGGGACAGATTTCACAGGAGTGTATTCTAAAGTATTTGTTATAGTAACAGCTGCCCAGTGAAAATCAAAGTTTAGATTGTCCATGTTCTCTGTTGAAGCAATGTGAACTCTTATGGTGAGCAGTCTGGAAAGATCCAAAGAGTCTCTACTGCACAAACTGTGTTGAAGTCCCTAGGAGAGGCAAAAAATGCTGAGATTAGTCTTTATACACCTCATTTATACATGATAATAGGATATTACAGTAATGCCTAGGTGCCTGTCATGAATCAGAGCCAACATTGTGCCAGGCACTGTTTAAACACGAAGAATCAGCCCCTTCTCCAAACAGCTCATGACTGTATTGAACACAGTGAATAGCAATATGAAATGCATCCATTATATATGTGAAAATGCACAGTTAGCTATGTTAAATTGGAACACAAAAAATCCACAAGGGCAAACGGAGGGTCCAAGAATTAGTTTATCAAAAACCTAGCAATAGGACAATTGCTTGCATCCAAGAAACCCTCATAACACAAATGGATGTGCAATCACAAGGAGATTATTCATTGGAACATAAATTGCTTTTTCAAGATATGAAGAGCCACCCCATAAGTACAGTCACAAGGCAAGGGTAGCAGGAAAAAAAATGGTTAGCTGCCCAAGATTCGCTGCTTCCTTGAACAGCAGCTATACTTGCTGAAGTATCCCCTTTGGGGAAAAACAAATATCCCTTCTGTCCCAGAAGAGTTTGGCAAGGAAGAGGTTTACTTAAGCTAGGCTTAAAATATTTAAAGATGTACAGCTCCCATTTATACAATTTGTAGAAAAGGAAATTAGTTCAGCCGTTAAGCCTACCAGATTTACATTTGTTATCCTGTTTACACACATACTCTTGATAGTTTACCACATTACTTCACAAGTTATCTATGTAACTTATCTTTTTTTTTTTTTATGTACTGTATCTAGTTACTGGTATACTGTTTCAACACACTAACACGTTAAATGTTTTTCATAGTCTAGATAATACACAAAGTATTGAGAGAGTTAAGGGCTGCACAAACAATACAAGGTGCAACATGCCCTACCAAAGCATTCCTGACATTTTTGTTTTAAATTAACTGGGTCCTAAACCAATCATACAAACTTGTCTTGGAGTCTGATTTTATAAAGACCTAGCACGTGTTCAACTTCAAGCACAGGAATAATTTAATTGATTATTTCTTTCTTTAAAGATGAACAGCAGAGAAACTTTTATTGCTTATGCCTTTTGATGCAAAAAAGAATGAGGTATTTTTCTGCTTTATTTTTTAACCGTGGAAAAAACCCAACATCATCAGGGCTTGCCTTACTCATTTTGCTTGAAGGACCAACTGAAGAACTGGAGAAGGATAAAAATATCTTAACAGACTGAAACCTAAGATTAGCTCTCAGACTTCAGTTGAAATCAGAGTTTGAAATACAATTCTCATAACAGCAAAACTAATCAGTGTAACTAGATATCCCGTCCTATTGTAACTGAAGGTTTGGAAAGCTGCAGCTTATCTTGCTGTCTCTTGTGATAGAATTATTTCAGTTTCTCCAGCAACAAAGGGTATGCCTACATTGCAATGAAAAATCCACAGCTGGCCTGTGGTAGCTGACTCAGGCTGCGGGGCTGTTACCTTACAGTGTAGTCTTGAGGGCTCGGGCTGTAGGACCCCGGCAAGGTAGGAGGATACCGGAACTCAGAAGTCTACACTGCAATGAAACAGCCCTGCAGCCCGAGTTGGCTGGCAAGGGCCAACCACAGGTGTCTAGCTGCTGTTTAGACATACCCAAAGAGGGTTATAATATAATATAATACAATACATGGAGATATACCTCTCATATAGAACTGGAAGGGACCCCGAAAGGTCATCAGGTCCAGCCCCCTGCCTTCACTAGCAGGACCAAGTACTGATTTTGCCCCAGATCCCTAAGTGGTCCCCTCAAGGACTGAACTCACAACCCTGGGTTTAGCAGGCCAATGCTCAAACCACTGAGCTATCCCTCCCCCGCAAAGGGTTCTTTACTTCCCTTTGGCTTTTGGGGGTCGGGGCTAAAGAACTGATGTTCCTTATATATAAAGGAAAAATCCACCCAAAAATCATGCATTACTTTCTTTATACACTGTAAATCAACCAATAAAGAGGGTGTAGGGTTTGGTTTTTTGGCCTTTTTTTTTTTTGGCACTTTGCGGATCTTTTGATTTTAAGAGAATTTAGTGTTGAATATTGCCTTGCAAACGGAAATAGTTATTCACAAAAATGATTTGGCACCATCAATAGAGCAAGCTCTTCCCATATTATCCCACCATTCTGGGAGAGAGTTTCAGCTAGGAACAAAAAGGAGTTTTGTCTTCATGTTCATCTTGTCTTAGGAATTTCTACTGAGACTGCCAATAAAAGGAGCTTATTGGTGACAATCATGATGTGGACTGAGAACAGCTCTCTTCACATTGGCCATTAAATGGTAACCTTCTGGTCTTTGCTCTTCTAGTTTGGATTTAGATGAATGGCAGGGAGGTGAAAGATATGGAAAGCCATCTAGTCTCCTCTCTGTGTCACTGTTTTAAGAGATCAGAAAGTTGCTAGGAGTGGCTTACCTTAAAAGCTAAGTTGAAGTCTTCAGAATTGTGCACTATAATATCTCCGGAGGAAGATCCCCAAGCGTTAATTGTACATGGAATCAAAAAGTCTCCTGGAAGAGGTGCTGAGGGGACTTTCCCTGAACCATCAGTTACTTCTCGACCGGGATCACATCTGTCTATTGTCAGTGATACACCTTCATCGTCTGGGGGGAAAGGTAAAAAAGAGTGGATGTGGAGAAGTATACTGCTTCTTGCATACCAAAACCGTCAAGTTCAGTTCACTGACTGAGACTTGCTCAATCACCAGAAATGCAGAAAGAAGCAAGCCAGTTACAAACGATTTAATAAAACATTCATGTAGGTTAAAAAACAAAAAAAGTTACCTTCATCCACTGCAAGAGTCCCAAGCAAAAAACAGGAAAAGAACTTTCTTTCACTCTGCTTAGCATGGCGATAGGCAAGACGAAGAGCCTTCTCCATCATCAACAGTTTGGGATTTCTGGGGGGAGGACGCGGGGGGGGGGAGGGGGAGAAGGAGAGACAATGAATGTGTTTAATACCGACATTAACAAGGATTTCTATGTATATTATATAAACAAGAATATTTTAGGTATAGTTAGGAAGTTTTAATGTATAAAATTTTTGTCCTGAATAAACTACTTCAAAGAATAAACCAATATTTTACTACAATGAAGCAATCCTATGCCCTAAACAGGAAGAGATTTGGATATTAGACTAACAAGAAGATAGTAGAATCTAGGTGCAATAAGCTTGAAGCTGCATGTCTAGTTTTGATCGTGAGCTGTCTGTGAAGAACATAAGGTCGAGAGATGACTGTAGACTGAAGCGGTCTGTGAAAATGCTATAATGCGAGGCCCAAATCCTACCTGGTCATGGTTAGGAAAGAAAGAGTTGAAGCCTTAAAATGTAACATACATTTTTAACCAATGAATGTCTATTTTAGAACTACCTTGTAAAGGGTTCAGGAATACTGTGAGAAAAATCCATAAACGGTGGAGGTGTAACAAAAGTACAGCCTGCTCAACTGAAAAGGAACATGTCTATGAACTACTGCAATGCCCCCTGTACACTATGCCTCACTTTGTTCAATGCTTAATTTCACAGAAGATTCTGTACAAATCTGATTAATCCTCCATTAAAAGAACATTTTTCTGTCATTGACAGGCAGTTATCTAGATGCATCTTTTTGGTGAAGCTCCCATAGCATCTCTAGGCTGCCCAGAAGGCAGACATGTCTTCAACTAGTACTCACCCTGGCTGGTAAAAGAGTATTCTCTCTGCTGTTGCACTGCTGCGTTGCAGGATTTTTCCTCTCCTAATGTTAATGGACTTTGTTTGAATAACCAAACTTTTGACACCCTCTTTACCATCTGACCCTCTTAAATCATGAGGGTCACAGCTTTTATTCTCAAGGGCATGCCAGTGCAAACAGGTTTTCCCCTCTCCCCTTCCCAGGTCTGACACACACTGCCCTAGGAACTGAGGAGGGCCAGGATTTGCCTTCTGACTTATTTTAAAGAGTATTTGTCAAAACTTTTGACATGTTAACAGGACTGTAAACACTTTACTTAATTAGGATTTCCAGGTTGAGTTTTAACTTAGTTCAGCATTTTGGCGTTTGCTTTTATCAGGATCACTCTTTCCTGCAGACATGTAGCGGCAGAGAACAACTGGCCCATAGAAACAAGAGGTTTGCCATCATCATTGTACTTTATAGTTTCCTTCCACCTTCTCCCTTGAGGGGCAGATATTTTTCACAGGGGCTTCTCAATCCTGTTGATTGTGCTGATCCACAAGGAAGGGACTCCCCAATCCTTCAGAAAGAAGAAACCCTCTAGCTAGATATTTATACTGCGTTCACTGTGATTTCCTCCCCATTGTTTTTCTGCCTCCCTGGGAGGACAGTTCCTACTAAAAACATGGAAGCAATGCAGTGTTAAGCAAACCCCTTTTCTCTCCCCAGAAGCGCAGGCAGAGAAGACAAGTATTTACTGCTTCTGACAAAACTAACGAATGTGGATATTTGCCATTGGAAAAAGAGATGCTGCCGACAGCCCTTCCTCGCAGTCCCACCCTGAGATGCTTCCAGCACAGAGTTGCTTTTACAGGGTGGGGTTGGGGAAATCAAAATCCCATCTGTGGAAGTGTAAGGGATGAACAGATCCCTACAAAGGTTAATCTTCCTCAGCACAATACAACTCAATAAAGCTTTACCGTCCACACGTGATGAACTGATACTGGAATAGTCTAACAGGGTTGAAAGAGGAATACACCATACCCAGGATGTAACTTGTAGAATAGTGTTCTGCACATACTCAGAAGATCCCCTTGCAATTTAATCATTTGTATCTTGAAGAGGAACAAGTCTTACTTATACCTGTAATAACTGATGTGTGCGCCAATAACATCTCCCACAGGTGTTGGATCCCAAAGTGCACATTTTGATAGAGGAAAACTGAATGGTACCATCCTGCTTGAAGCAATTCTGCAAAAGAAAAAATAATCAGAAATATAGTAAGCCTAATCTTTTAAGCTGCACTTTATTCGGTTTGGGTTGGGGGTAAGAAGATGAAAGAAGAAAAAAACCAACAACATAAGAATGGCCATACTGGGTCAGACCAAAGGTCCATCCAGACCAATATCCTGTCTACCGACAGTGACCAATGCCAGGTTCATTCCCTCTGGGACACCTAACAGGTAATGATCAAGTGATCTCTTCCAATGAAACGGACAAAGAAGATAATGAGATTTCATTTATTTTGCCATTTTAAAGGGCTAATTGCTACAGTTCCTTCATATGGTTTTAGGTGTGAATGCCAAGGCACTAATTATTTTTAGCTAAAGCTTGGGAAATGAATCTGTGCTAGATAAAACATTAGAAAGAATAAGACATACCAGGAAATAAGTGATTTTCCGCTCACTTTAAATTCAGATTAAGAAAAAAGAAAACTTGCCAAAAGGTCATCTTTCCAGTTTCCTTGATAGTTTTACATAGGATTTGCTCCATTAAAAAGCAGCATGTTTTGAAGAATATTTAAAGGAACATTATATCTGAAGTCAAACAGCATATTACACAGAAAGAGTGTTGTGACCACAGAACTCCAAGTTCACAGCCACAAATAGGACTCAAAAGATGTTCAGAAACTGTAGCCATTCAAATTTCTTGACAAAGTCTTACAAATTTTATTTTAAGATTTCTCCAAGTTGACAGAAATAATCTTTTAGTAATCCATGTAATACAGTTCATAACCCACTGCTAACATTTGACTAAAGAGCAACTTAGGACTTCTTCATTAAAATATTTTACATTAATCAAAACAATACACGTAAATCCCCCCTCACACTCTTTTAGCTGCCATAAAAAAAAAAAAAAAGATTTCTCTATTCTGATGCCCTACCTCAATCCACTCACTTGTCTCACATGGTGGTTATGATGGAGGATTGGTTCTCATTAAAAGAATGCTGTCAATTTAAGTCCACATATTAGATTTTTTTTTTTAAAAGTTGCAAAGCCCAACAAGCTCACAGAAATGTTTTTTTTTTTTTTTAAATTTAACAAACAAAAAAACCCCACAAAACCAAAAAACTTGTTGAATTAAGGACCAATACTTCCCTGTATTGTTTACAACTCAAACACTGCACTTCAGAAAGTGAGTTAGACACATAAGCACCTGGTTTATATTTGGTCAGTTTATTTCTGATCACAAATATTTGCCCTGTAAAAAACAAAAGAAATAGTATTTTTCGAGGATTGTAGTGCAATCTCTTTATCATGAAAGTTGAACTTACAAATGTAGAATTATGTATAAAAAGTAACTGCATCTAAAAATAAAACAATGTAAAACTTTAGAACCTACAAATCCACTCAGTCCTATTTCTTGTTCAGCAAATCAAGCCAATCAAGTTTGGTTACATTTGCAGGAGATAATACTGCCCACATTGGTCTGCTAAACCCAGGGTTGTGAGTTCAATCCTTAAGGGGGCCATTTAGGGATCTGGGGCAAAAAAATCTGGGGACTGGTCCTGCTTTGAGCAGGGGGTTGGACTACAATGTCACCTGAAAGTGAGAACATGGCACTTTTGTAGATGGTGTCGCAAGATATTTACATGCCAGATGCTTTAAATATTAATATGTTCCTTCATGCTTCAATCGCCATTCCAGAGGACATGCATCCATGCTGATGACACGTTCTGCTCAATAACAATCCAAAGCAGTGCAGACCGATGCATGTTCATTTTCATCCTCTGAATCAGATGCCACCAGGAGAAGGTTGATTTTCTTTTTTGGTGGTTTGGGTTCTGTAGTTTCCGCATTGGAGTTTTGTTCTTTTAAGACTTCTGAAAGCATGCTCCACACCTCATCCCTCTCAAATTTTGGAAGTACTTCAGATTCTAAAACCTTGGGTCGAGTGCTGTAGCTATCTTTAGAAATTTCACATTGGTACCTTCTTTGCGTTTTTTGTGAAATCTGCAGCGAAAGTATTCTTAAAATGAACATGTGCTGAGTCATCATCAGAGACTACTATAACATGAAATATATATCAGAATGCAGGTAAAACAGAATCAGAGACATACAATTCTCCCCCAAGGAGTTCAGTCACAAATTTAATTAACGCGTTATTGTATTAACGAGTGTCATCAGCATGGAAGCATGTCCTCTGGAATGGTGGCCGAAGCATGAAGGGGCATACGAATGTTTAGCATATCTGGCATGTAAATACCTTGCAATGCCAGATACAAAAATCCCATGCGAACGCTTGGTCTCACTTTCTGGTGACATTGTAAATAAGAAGTGGTCCCATAATGTAGACAAACTTGTTTGTCTTAGCGATTGGCTGAACAAGCAGTAGGACTGAGCGGAGTTGTAGGCTCTAAAGTTTTGCATTGTTACATAACAGCACTCAAACGAAACAAACAAACCAAAACAATAAAAATCAAAATCGACATTTGTAAGTTGCTTTTTCACGATAGAGATTGCACTACAGTACTTGTATGAGGTGAACTGAAAAATACTATTTCTTTTATCATTTTTACAGTGCAAATATTTGTAATAAAAAATATAACGTGAGCAGTGTACACTTTGTATTCTGTGTTGTAATAGAAAATATATTTTAAAATGTAGAGAAACATCCAAAAATATTTAATCAATTGGGATTTTATTGTTTAACAGAGCAATTAAAACTGATCAATCGTGATTTTTTAAAGTTAATCATGTGAGCTAACTGCAATTAATCGACAACCAATTTTTATCCACCCCGACTTGAGCTTAAAGTAAAGCCCACACATAGATCTTTGCAGAAGTGGGGCTCAACTGTGGAATTTAGGTAGTGTTTTTGATTTAGGGTTTTGTGGGTTTTTGGCAACTACTGAGCCAGACAGAAGTTGGAGCATGCCACAATTAAATTTTTTTTTTTTTAAGTTTAAAATGTACTTCGCACTGTGCAAGACATAAAATTTAGACATTCCCTATGCCAAAGAGTTATATGAAGGTAGGATGCACTGGGAAGCCCAGAAGAATGAATAACTGATTTTTAATTATTGTACATATTTTTTGTTAGTTTATAGGCATTGCAGAGATTAATTTCTTCCATAACCATCTGGACTAACATGATTGTGGATTGCTCAACCGATATAGGGAGAACATTTCATACTTAGCAAGAGGTGGAAAAAGAGACAGAAATAGGACAGTTGCCACCCTGGTGAAAGGCAATAGCTTGAGACCTCTGGAGATTGAAGTCCTATGTTCACCAAAGTAGCAGCACACCACTGCAAAACTTCCTCACCAATGTTTCCCATTGTTTATTTAGAGGTGCTACTTCTAAGGGAGGCCATCCACTCACGGCAACTTTAAAATCTTAATGTTTTTTCTTAAGTGGCCCTCTGTAGTACTGAATTATGTTTGTTCAAGTAGTGTCATTTGTCATCTCATCTCCATGTCTTCTCTCCCCTTCTGCCCATTAACTGTCACTATGCATGGAAAGTTCTCCCCATCTTGGTTTGTCAAGCTCCCAGCCTCTCCACATTCAAGTCTCACTACTTCTATAGCAAGCAGAAATAAGCAAAAATTTATAACCATAATAAAAAAAATCAGTTTAAACCTTTATTGAATATTTGCCTCGCTGCTTAGATGGTTACTAGGATTTCAGTCGTGATGGTTTCTGTAACATGCACACCTGTGTACTAGGAAATGGACTCCATACACAGCTTTCAATGGGTATTTAATAATGGTGGAGCCCAATTTTCCAACTAAGTATTCGTTTAAAAAAATAAGTTACAGTTAGGGGACCAGGCAGTTAAAAAAAAAAAAATGTACACTGCCTGAACCATCCTGCACACACACACATTCTCTCTCTCTCCCCCCCCCCCCCCCTTCATACACTGTTACTAATAGGTCCTGGTCTTTAAGGGCAAAGATAATGAGTCACCAAACTCAGTCATTTTCAACATAAAAACTCTCACTAGTTACAATATTTAGGGCCTGATCGTGAAAGCTGACCTGTAAGGATGAGGCTCTGTGGAGGCACAGAGATCCACCTGCATGGACCAGACTGCAGAACAGGGCCTTAAATAGTAACATCTTCAGAAAAGAGACTGCCATTTAAAGTCTATATGTGCAGCACTCTGTACAAGGGGGCCCCCAATCATAATTAGGGTGACCGGGCATTACTGTAATACAAATAATGCATGATGGCATATTGTTCATTGCAGAGATAATAAAGTTGTGTTATTTGTAGTCCAAAGAATCAAGAGATTTGTGCTTTCTTTGAACGCCTCGTAAGGAAAAATATTAAAATCAAAAGCTTTCCATAAAGTAATTTCTCTACAGAGGAGCAGGTACCTAGGATCGGTTTGGTGATCTGAAACAGCATAAATAGCCTCCATGACTGCAGCCTTCAATCCCCTGCAAGGAAAACCGAAGAGAGAACATTACAGAATGGGGCCCTGGCCCATGACTAGGCACTACAGGGACACAAATAATAAACACAATACAGAAGAAAACAACCAGAACCCAAATCACGGCTTCTAAAGTAACGGGTTTACACCAGAGCGGACAACCGGCCAAAGGCTGCCGCAAGGTAAGTGACAAGGTGACCGGGGCTGACCAGGATCCACCACAGCCGGCGCGTGACCCTCCCGCCGCCCCAGTAAAACCAGCCCTACTTGGACACCCACGCGCGGGCCCCCACGCAGGACCAGGAGGGGCGAGGTCCCCGCACCGGGAGCTAGCTATGGGTGGGGGGTTGGCATCCCCTCGCCCGAGCCCAACGGGAGGCCAGCGGACGCGCAGGCCGAGACCCCAGCGCCTGGCGGAAGGAGCCCTCAGGGTCCCCAACCCCCAGCCCAGTCTAGGCGGGGCGCCCCAGCCTCACCCCCGAACGGGGCCCTCTCCCCGCTGCCGCCGCAAGCAGGGGCAACGCCGCGGGTCCAGGTGGGGAGCTCGGTAACTGACTCACCTGGGCAGGCCCCTTCCGCCTGTGGCGGCTCCAACGGCGGCACCGCCAGCCTCCCGCCCCTACGACGCCCTCCACACAATGAGCGCCCCCGCCCCGCCAGGCCCTCTTGCCCAATCAGGAGGCGCAGCCTGCGTTCCGCCCACTTCTTTGTGCGGTCGCTCAATCAGCACGCCGTTTCGACTCGCCCGCTCAACCAATCCGGTGGCACCCCGGGCAACCAACCGCCCGGCGCGCGCAAGCGAAGGGGGATTTAAAAACACTACTGCTTTAAACGGTCACCCAGCGAGCAAACGCTACTGCGCAGGCGCACTGGTTGGGGACGGGGAGGGAGGCGTGGTTTGGATGCTACAGCAACAGTCGAGTTGTCTGAGGTTAGAGTTTTAAAGAGACACACCCCTAATTATTATTGGATAGGGGCCCAAGTGACTTACTCAAGTCCACATAGCAAGTTACAGACAAAGCCAGGTTTAAAACCAAGTACCTCTTGGGTCCCACTTCTCATCTTTAACCACCAGACCAGATTAGCTCTCTGTGCGATATAAAATGCCATCTAAATTGAGTATGTAAACAGGATTAAAAATATTTTTATAACAAAAATGAAATGCCAGAAATCAAGTAATACATGGTCACCTCGCATGTAGAAAATACTGATGACTTTGCTATACTGGTGATTAAGAACCAAACCGAATCAGTACTCACAACCGATCTAGTGAAATTAGAGGAAACCATAAGGAAAGCTTCTAAAGTTAAAATATAAATTGTTAATCAAAAAACTCAACAGCATAATTATATAGTCTGTCTTATATCTTAGATAAATCCTTGAACAACCTAACTATAGCCAATTGCTCAGCTATTGTCCTAAAAAGACCATAAAATTCACCTGAGTATTGATAAAAAGAACAGGAGTACTTGTGGCACCTTAGAGACTAACACATTTATTTGAGCATAAGCTTTCGTGGGCTACAGCCCACTTCATCGGATGCATGTAGTGGAAAATACAGTAGGAAGATATATGTATACACAGAGAACATGAAACAATGGGTATTACCATACACACTACAAGGAGAATGATCAGTTATCAGTATTGATAGTTACCTTTTACTGGTAACTTTCTGTATTATTTGCTTTATACTACAATGAACTTTGCACTATTCTGACGTTTGCTCTCTCCAGACAGTAGCCTATTAGCACAGGTATGTTTAAATGAGTTATTTCCAAACAACTCCAGACTTGTTTCTTTGCCAGGGGATTTTAATTGTTTTAATTAGGGAGAACTATATCTTATTAGCTATATGTTCTGGAGATGGGGAGTTAGTACAGGCGGACCATGGGCGCAAATGATGCAGATCCATATTAAGACAAGCCTGAAATTGGACCTATGTAGAAGCCGCATCATTTCTGAATCAAATCTCTTGTATGCATACTGCATAACCATCTTCAGAAAAATAAAAGTCACAGAAAGGCAGTAAGGTCAAGCCCTGAATCTGCCATTATATCATTCCTCCTGGAGATTCCCTGGCACTTATACAGAACTTGTACTGTACTGCTTTTATGCCACATTGCTCAGACTTGAAATTCCTGTTAGTTGGGTGCTCCCGAACAGGTGCTCACTGAGAAGGAGTGCCACCGCTGAGGTGCCAAAACCCAGGACATCCGGGAGAAGACTGAGCTGCATGATCCTGGCGTTGTGCGCCCAGAAAACTGAACAGCCGGCACGGCAGTGCCTATTGGGCACCCTGACTGATTTCCCCAGGCAACTATAGTAGCTACCTCAAAATAGGGTGACCAGATGTCCCGATTTTATAGGGACAGTCCTGGTTTGGGGGTCTTTTTCTTACATAGGCTCCTATTACCCCCACCCACTGTCCTGATTTTTCACACTTGCTGTCTGGTTACCCTACCTCAAACAAGGGACAATGCTGGCTGGGAACACCTGGGTGGCGTGGGGGGAACCCCCCCCCCCATTTCCCTTCTGGGCACCCAGACTGCACTCCTAGCCTCTAGGGCCCTCGCTCCTTCCGTGCAAAGCTGGGGAAATGGGCAGATCAGCAGACAGCTTGGACTTTCACGGGTACAGCGCGCCGCGGCCCGAGAGCAGGGCAGGGAGCAAGACACGCCCCCCCCCCCCCCCCCCCCCCCCCCGCGGGGGGGGGGCCCGCCCCCCCCCCCCCCCCCCCCCCCCAGTTCAGCAGCGGGCTGTGTCCCTGCTCCTCCCCGGATCTCGTCTGAGCACCCGCCAGGATTGGCCACGTGCCCCCTGCCTCTGAACGGAGCGGGCGGGTGTCACGTCGTCACTCCCCCACCTCACCCCAGCCGCAGAGAGCGCAGCCCGCGCGCCTCCGCCCCCGGAAGCACTTTCCCTCACACGTCAGCAGCCGGCGTGTGACAGCCGGCGGCGGTTTGGCGGCCTGGACCTCTCTCCCGGCCCCGCTCCCTGGCCCCCTCTCCCCCCCTCCCCCGTGCCGTGCATGTTCTACCGCTGCCTGCTGCTGGTAGCGGCTCGCCTCAGCCCTCGCGCGCGCTGCCTCCGAACCGCCGCCGCTCCTCGCCGCTGCCTCCTCCTCATGAAGCCGCTGGTTGTGTTCGTCCTGGGCGGGCCCGGGGCTGGTAAGGGGACCCAGTGCGCCCGCATCGTGGAGGTGAGAAGCGCAGCGGGGAGGGTCTCCGTGTCCGCAGGAACCCCCCCCTTTCCAGTGCCGCCGCCTCCTCGGAGAGCGAGCGGACTACATCTCCCAGCATGCAACGCGGCGAGGGGCTCTTGGCATCTTCCCTGCGCAGCGGCGCGGGGCATGGCGGGACGGGTAGTCTTGGGGCTGTCTCGTTTCCGTGGCCCTGCAGGGTTGAGCGGGGGCTTGGACATGGGGACCCCAGGGATGGGAGTGGGAGGCGGCCCGTTATAATTGTCTCCCTGGGGTTCGGTTTCCGTTTTTAGGCGGGTAGGGAAGTTCTAGCTCTCAGTCTTGGGGCTATTTTGGGGGCATTTTAAAAGAAACCCCTCTTGTTTCTCCAAGTGCACGTTGGAGCCCCCCCATTTCCCTTCTGGGCACCCAAACTGCACTCCCAGCCTCAAGGGCCCTCGCTCCTTCAGTGCAAAGCTGGGGAAATGGACCTCTCTGCCAGGGGTGTGTGTGGTAGAGGCACAGACGCCCATACTAGACAAGTCACACACTCTTGTGTTTGTAGGCCAAGTTCTGTCTGCATGTTATCCACAGTATCCTGGGCAGAGGTCAGATTGGGGGTGCGGATGGTATTGTGCGGGAAGATGTTCATGATTAACATCAATCACAGACCTAGTTAGAGCTGATGGGTGTGCTTGCCAGAGTCTAGGGACCTGTGTGTCCCATTTCCCCTTACCTTTCTGCCAGGGTCTCTGGATACAGTTACACTGCTAAACCCGCAGCATCGACTCTCAGAGCCTGGGTCAGTTGAGGCCTGGTCTACACTAGAAAATTAGGTCAGTATAACTACATGGCTCAAGGGTGTGAAAAATCCACACCCCTGAGGGATGCAATTAAACCAGCCTCTCATCCCCCAGGCATAGACAGTGCTAAGTCAGTGGGAGAATTCTCCTGTTTCCCTAGCTATTGCCTTTCAGGGATGTGGGAGTACCTACTACAGTGGTGTAGCTGCACTGCTGCAATTTTTTCAGTGTAGACAAGCCCTGACTTGAATTGCAGGGTTAAAATTGCAGTGTGTAGACGTTTGGACCCAGGCTCTGAGACCCACCCCCCTTGCAGGGTTTCAGAGCCCAGGCTTTAGCCCAAGCCCAAGTATCTATACTGCAACTTTTAGTCCCATGAGGCTGAGTCAGCTAACCCAGGCCAGCTGTGGCCATGCCGCAGGTCTTTTATTGCAGTGTCCCCTGTTTCTTACCCCTTTCCCCAAGGTATCTTTTGTATATTTTGTACAGAACCTAACACAACTGTGGTCCCCTCAATGACTGGCCTTAATTACCCCCTACTGTTTGTAGTTCCTGGAAAAGTTGTTGGTAACCCTCCCTCGTGGAGTGGAACACAATCATACATAAACCATTAATAAATTTAAGAGAATGTCCTGCAAAGATACTGCGGGGGGTTTGCAATAGAAGGTACAATGGGTTTATTATTCCAGAGGTATATGGTGCTTTCATCATCATCATCATCATCATGTTCCTATTACGCCTCTGGTGTTTAGGGCAGTGATGAAGCTCATCCACTCCTGTCTGTTTCTAGCAAGTCTTTCAATGGTTCCCCAGCTGTGCCCCAGCTTCCACAGCTCTTCGCCATGTTGTTTTCGGGCAGCCTCATTTTCGCTTGCCTTCAAGTGTCCATCTTATTGCTACTCTGGTGAGGGAATCAGTTTCCATCCGAAGCACATGACCGATCCATCTCTAGCGTCTCCTAGCAATGATGGTGCTCAGATCCTCTTGGCTGCACTGTGTCAATAGATCTTGGTTTGAGATTGTTATCAGAGTTGCGTACTTTCAACACTACTTTATAGTGCAGAATACTGGGGAATGAGAAAGTATGACAAGTCCAAACTGTCTTCATTCCATACAACCTGCCTTAGAAAAATCCTCTGTATCTTTTGGCCCAGAACAATCTTAAACCAAATATGGTGCTTTACAGTAGTTTAAATACACAAAGATCCAGGCCCATGTTCCAAAGAGTTTATGATCTAAACATACAACCAGGGAGTTGATAATTCCGAGGGCAGATAATTTCCTCTGTGCCACTGTAAATTGTGAAAATAAAATTATATTATAAACAACAATAGAAGTGAAATTTTGTTATGCAGCTGAATGTGATGGAGGTCACAAGTTATGCAGAGTGAATCTTTATGTGCTTTATGTGTGTCCTGTGTTAAATTAATCCTTGTCTTTTCTGCCATCAAAGATTTTCAAACTGGCATTAAGAGATTACATGATTTAATTTTTAGAATTTCACACAACTTTTCTAAATATTTAGAATTCATTTTAGTTTAACAGTACTTGAAGGTGGAAAAAATGTTTAGAAGAGTGGGGGGAATAGCTGATGATTAATAGCTGACAATTATTTACATACA